CGCATCACAGCAATTGTGAAGGACAAAGGGCAGAGGAAACCCTGAGGTGCTGGCCCTGGGGACTGCTAGAAAGCTTATTCTTCCAAGGAGGCAGGAAGTAGCATTGTGGTGGTAGGGGTGAGGTGATAATGCCAACACTGCTGTGGAGGTGGAGCTGCCTGGCACAGAAACCTTGTTTGAGAAGAGTGACTCACAGCCCTTGGGTAAGTACTTCACACTACATTTGATGCCAAACACAATGTTCCTTCAGCATTTCTAGGCCAATTCCACTCAGGAAAGGCAAATCTAAAGACTGGGCTGAGAATAGATTTAATGGTCTTCCTCCTTCCACCCAGAGGATATGGGACTTCAACCATGACCATTTCCTATACCAATTGGATGGGAAGGTGAGGGAGGGCAGGGAGGAACCAGGAGACAGTGTTTACTCTGTTTGGCCACTGGAAAAGGTGCTACATTTGGCAGCAAAGAATCTGGGTTCACATCCTGGTTTGGCCACTAACTAACTGCATGGTCATGAGCAAGTCACTACTTCTCCATGCTTTAGTTATCTGAGTTGAAAACTTTGGAGGTTGGATGAGATGGCCACGATGGTCCCTTGCCAGCTTTAAATCTGTGTTCCCATGTTCTGTGAGCCTAAGATTAGGGTCCCCAATCATTTCCCTATGGGGACCTACTTTTGATTTTTATAAGTCTTATTACTGCCAAGTAAAAAATTATAATAAGGTGAATGATAAGGGGGAATTCCTATAATCTGGGGGACCATGGTAGCAGCAGATGATTTAGAGATTAAACAGGTGAAAATTAGTATTGAATGGTAGAAATAGATATTTAAAGGAGTCAAGGAGAAAAGTATCATTGCGTATTAAGACATACTCATATGAAGAAATCTAGTAAGCATCGATCAATCCACAAGCATTTATTAAGTCTGCGCCAGGCACTGTGCTGGGTCCTGGAGATATGAATACATAAAGAAAATAGCTCCTGCCTTCCATGAGTTTACATTCCATCAAGAGACACAACACACACATACAATAATATCGATAATTCATACATAATAAGAATAAGGTAATTTTGGAGAGAAAGGCACTAGCAGCTGTGGGGATCAGGAAAGGCTTTGTGTAGAAATTGGTACTTGAGTTGAGCTTTGAAGAAAACTAACTCTCTTATGGAAGTGAACGCTGAAAACTAAAAATAAATAAATTAATAAAAATCTTGAAAAGAAAAAAAGAAAACTAACTCTCATACTTGGAGACTTCACATTTTCCACAGCAGCTGTTCCAAACGTTCTCTTCTCTAAAGCTACCAACTCCTACCTTTCCAACTCCCTCTCAGCACAGGACCTTTACTCATACTTTGCTGAACAAAATTGAGATTATTTTTTGCAAGCTCCCTCTCTTCTCCAATTCCATATTTCAAATCATTTTGGCATCCTCCCTAATCTCATCCTCTTTTGCTTCAGTCTTAGAGGTTCAAAATCACCTTACCATGTACCCTTCTTTAACTATTAAGACACCTGAACCAATCCACTTTCTTTTTATCCCAGTATAATGACACACAGAAATATATCATTTTGTCTTCAAGAAACCCAACCATTTCTTCACTTCTTTCTCTCTCTCTCTCTCCTGCCTGCTATGAGTGTCAGATACAGGACAAGCTGCTCTACTTCCCTGTAGACATGAGGTCAGAGGATATGAAAAAAGTCTTCCAAAATAAGAAATGTAAAGTGAAGAAATGCAAAAAAAGAAATATCAACAAATATCTGAAAATTGTTTAAAATTACTAATGATCAAAGCAATGCAAAATAGTTTAAAATAATCCTGAAGTATACTTCAAACCAAATTACCAAAGATGGCAAAAGCCAATGTTGTTGATGGCTGTTAGAAGATAAAAACAGGGGCAGCTAGGTGGCACAGTGGATAGAGCACTGACCCTGGAATCAGGAGGACCTGAATTCAAATTTGGCCTCAGGCACATAACACGCACTAGCTGTGTGACTCTGGGCAAGTCACTTAACCCCAATTGCCTCACCAAAAAAAAAAAGAAGAAGAAGATGAAAACATTATTTCATTGCTAATGAGGTTATAAATGGATCCAAACGCTCTATAAGACGATTTGGAATTATTTACGAGAAGGTACTAAATTATTTATATTCTCTAATCCCATGAGCCTGAGAGCCATTTACACCCCAAAAAAGTCAATGACAGAAAGAAAGACACCTATGTACCAAAATACTCTTAGTAGCGCTGTTGTAATAACAGAAAGCTAGAAACAGATTATGTGTCTTATAAATGGGGAACGGCTGAAGAAATTATGATTTATAAATGTAATTATGAAATAACAAATGTGAAGAATTCAGAAAAAACATGGGAAGGTTTGTATGGCCTGATAAAGCAGAGGCAAAGGAAAAATAAACCCAAAGGCCACAGGCTAAAAGAATATAAATGAAAATAACATTGAAGGCAGCAAAACTCAGGACAAATACAAAAGACAAAGTTCAAAATTTTTGAAGGACAGACAAAATAAAATCACGTAGGTTTCCTCCCCCAAGATTTATCTTTATTCTTTCTGACAAGTTCGCTCTTTCTCCTTCACCCTCAGACTCCCCATGGTATTTTTTCCTCCCTTGCTGTTTTCCAAGACAGAGGGACAAGTTGACGTCATTGGTGCAGGTGCCTTGTCTAGCCTTACAAAACGTGTGTTGTTGATTCTGGATATCAAATAGTGGCCGCCTGATCTGAAAACCGGGACCTATGAGTAAAGGATATTAACAGCAAACTGCAGCAAGGGAATCCTATGCCAGACCTGCTCAGGCTCATCTGGGGGCTGGAATCTCCATCCAGAGGCAAAGGATCTCATCCAAGGCGCAGACTCATCAACTTCATTGGAAACTGGACTGCTGCTCAAGGGAAGAGTCTATTCCCAGGCTAACTTCAAGAGGCCTGCTAGGACAGGAGTCTTTCCCAGAACTGACTAGACTTGAGTTCCTCCACTTCGTTGGCTATTTGGCTCATGGCCTTTGCTTTCCAGTAAAAACAAACCCCCAGGAGTTTTGTGAAAAGCAGTAAATCAAGTTGAATGGAAATCATTCCACTCAAAATACGTTTACACGATGGCACGTGTATAACCTATATCGGATTGCTTGCCATCATGGAGAGAAGGGATGGAAGGGAAGGAGGGAGAAAAAAATCTGAAACTCAAAATCTTATAAAAAAAATCAATGTTGAAAACCATCGTTACAAGTAGTTGGAAATAATAAAATACTGTTTACCAAAGAAAAAGAAAAAAAAGAAATCACTCTACTTTAAAATTCATTGCTCTGTTTTCCATTTGGAGGTAGAGGAAGAGGAGCAATCCAAGTCCCTTATGCCACAGGTAAGGAAACTGAGGCAAGAGAAGTAAAGGATGGGTCCAAAGTCCCATATCTAGTAAGTAGTAAATTCATTCTAGCATGGCTCAAGTGCCATTTCTTTCATGAGCCCTTCCCTGAGGGCAAAACCAATAGTTTGAGGTCTTCTTGTAATAGCTCTCAGCTTCCTTATAATGAATGTTTCTAACAACTAGAGTATTTGAGAAATGTAGTTGAATACCTCATGTTGAAATGTTAAGTTCAAGCAATGGCTAGGTGGCAACATATCAGTTATATTATAGAGTGACATTCTCTTTTAGGAGGAGAGCTAAACGGGATGGCCTGAAAGGCACCTTCAAACACTAAAGTTCTAAGATTCTATGGTTCTGTTTCATCTCAGGTTCCAGCAATCTTTCCTACATCTGACCTAGTGTACCCAATGTCTACAAAAACAATTTATCATTTAGTGCTTTATCCTGCTGGCTATCTTTCTATGTCTTCTTTCTTTTTTTTAGATAAGGTGGATGTATAAAAGAGCAGAGGCTTTTCATGATTTGCTAGTTCACTATTAGTCAAGAGTGTGACAAAGCAGCCCCCAAAAAATTAATGCAATCTTGATCTCCATTGAAAGAAACAGTGTCCAGAATGAGGGAGATTCTAGCTCTTCTATATCAAGATCTCACCACATCTAGAATGTTGTGATCAGTTGCTGGGCTCACATTTTAGAAAGGCTGCTGATAAAACAGTATGGCCAAGGAGACAGAACTCGAATTTACGTGGTCTATGGACTAGAAGCCATACCAAGATTGGAAGACTGGTTGAAGGAACTTAGTGGGGGAGAAAAGACTTGGTGTTAAAGGGAGACAGAAAAATTATAATTGTTTTCAAATATTAACATGCAGAAGAGGACTTAGCTTGGCGCCAAAGAGAAGGTCTAAGAATGATGTGTTTAAATAGCAAAGCAGAGAATGGCTTGCTCTAAAGTAAAACTTTCTACCGATTATAGCACTTCTAAAGTGGAATGGGCTGATAGGGAAGGTGATTCCTATCACTGGAAGTCCGATTCAGTGGCTAGATGACCAGATGTGGGATAATTTGTGGAGGAGATTCCTGTTCAGATATGGGCTGGGCTGCAGGTTCTTTCCTAACTTTTCTGTGATGCTATTCGGTAGTATGCTCCTTGAAGGCAGGGAGCAGGCTTCATTCAGCTTTCTGTTTCCCATGGCACCTAGCTGCTAAAACAATATTCTATCAACATGTTGGGTGTTCAAATATTTCTTCAAGGCAATCACAGAATCACAGAATGCTTGGGTTGGACGCAACTTCGGAAGGTGTTTGGCCAATCTCCTTATTTTACAAACTGAGGCTCAGAATAAATTACTTGCTTAAGGTCACATAGTTGTTTGTTTGTTTGAATTAAATCTGAAGCCAGAATTCTTGTACACAAGTCTTAAGTAGGGTCCTTATCTTAGGGCTAGCTAGTAGTAGAGCTAACTATATGGTGCCATTTGTGGTGAATCTTGAGAATATCATTGATACCGAATGGCTAGAGCTTCCTCACCCCTCCCCCAGTGCCAGCTCTGTCTGGGTGAAATAGGGACAAAAACCATGCCTCAGGTTCATATGCTGTGTCATAAGCTCTGCAAGATCTTACCTAGATATGTCCCAATGAATCCAAGGCATAGAAGCTGGAGAGCACAAAGATGGTGCCAACTCCCAGGATGACGACGCCTACATAGTAAGCCCCTAGGCAATCCAACCCTTCTATCTTCGGCTGGCTGGACATGGCCCGGGTAAAGCTAGAAGGAAAGAGGAGAAAAGATAAGAGGAAAATACAGAAGCTTGCCAAGTCCATTAAGGCCATCATACCCAAATTCCTGGACTGATTCTACATAGCAGTAGAACCTTATGAAGAGTCAAGTTATTAGACTCAATTCAACTCAAGAAACATTAAGTACCTATTCTGTGCCAGGCCCTGTGCTAAGCGATGGGGATACAAAAAGAAGCAAATGACAAGTCTCTGCCCTCAAGGAGCTTACCCTCTAATGAGGAAGATGAGATGCAAGCAAATATATACAAAGCAAGCTATATAGAGGATAAATAGCAAATAATTGAGAGGAAAAGCACTGGATAGTGAACACTTCTACATGATAGGAATTGAGTTGGGACTTAAAAAAAAGTCAGTTATTCAGAAGGAACCTTAGCAGTCACTTAGTCCAAAATCCTCATATAAATGTGGGTTATTATTTTTATTAATAATAATAAGCCACTGTGAAACATTAACACATTAGTTTTATTTAGCTTATCAACTTACTCCAGGTGACCAGGGCTAATCTTCTCTGAGGGAAAAGGTCACAAGACTAGGAAATTCTAACAGAGGGTGGATCAAGGTGCAACTCCCCAGAGAGCTGAGGTTGTGATAAAGAATGGATGCCGTTGCCTCAAACCAAACACTTGACCCTTACCAGTTGTGTGACCCTGGGCAAGTCACTTAACCCTAACTGCTTTAAAAAAAAAAAAGAATGGATGCCACCAACACATTTATCTAGCCTACTTCAGCACAGAATTAGAAAATTTCATGATTAGAAGGGATTTCAATGGTCATTCTACTACAACTTTCCACTTATTACATACATCCCTTCTATTTGAATACTTCCAGCAATGAGATGCTTGCTACCTTCCAAGGCAGCCCATTTCAGTACTAGACAGCCCTAAGGGTTAGAAAGTTTTTCCATTTATTAATCCTTGTTTTACCCTTGGAGCCACTCAGAAGTCTAATCCTTCTTCCACAAAATAGACCTTCAAATATTGAAAGACATATTTAGTCATTTTTTTTTCTCTTCTAAGCATAATATAGGAGCAGCTAGGTGGTGCAGTGGATAGAAGACTGGGCCTCGAGACTGGAGGACCCATCCGGCCTCAGATACTTAACAGCTGTGTAAACTGGGCAAGTCACTTAATCCTGTTTACCTTAGTTTCCTCATCTGTAAAATGAACTAGAGAAGACATGGCAAAATAGTATCTTTGTCAAGAAAACCCCAAAGAGTCATGAAGAGTTGGATGCTACTGAAAATCGACCAAATAACAACAAAAACATAGCATGCCCAGTTCTTTCAAGCGCCCTTTATTTGACATTGGCTCTAGACTGCTCGCCATCATGGCCGCCCTCCAGCTTGCCACTCTCACCCTTACACCAAGGAAAGAACACTCTCTACTTCAGATGTGCTCTGATCAGGACATTGTTCTAACATGGTCTAGTCTCAATTCCAATACCAATGTATTGCAAATATCCTCTCCAGAAACTGGTTTTGGTGTTTCCTCTCTTAATTCAGTGTCATCAATAAGACAGATTATTTTGTGGCAACATTCTGATACTCCTGTTCTTGGCAGGATGAAGGAAATTTATTCTGTGCTTTGCATTGCAAGTCTCTCTCTGGCATTTGTGCAAAGGGATTGAAGGCCTGCTTTTATTAACTTTTCTTTTTCCACTCTCTCAAAGGTTGTTTGAAAATTCAACACTCTTGGGGCAACGAAGTAGCGCAGTGGATAGAGCACCGGCCCTGAAGTCAGGAGGACCTGAGTTCAAATCTGGCATCAGAGCAAACACTTGACACTTACTAGCGGTGTGACCCTGGGCAAGTCACTTAACCCAATTGCCTAAAAAATTAAAAAATTAAAAAAGAAATAAATTCAACATGCTCATCTAAAGCTTCAAGGGAGTCCAAAGAGAGACGACTCATAGATTTCCAAAGGCAAGGAAGAAGAGAGGAATCTGGAAGGATGGATGGGCATAGGCTATAGAAGTCAGATCACATTTGCTGCCCAGTGCCCTGAGATGTGGAGGCTCATACACTTTCAATGGTTCTCCATGGCCTACTGGAGAAAGTCCAAACTCTTCAGATTGGGATTCAAAGGCCCTCTAAATCAGGTTCTCAACGTACTTTTCCAGCTTTATGTCCCCATTCCCTAATATACATCCTTGGCTCAAGAAAGGCTGGTTTTCTCGTTGAACTTGGAATTAGAGTTTGCAGAGGGCAAAGGTGTGAAGTGAACATAAGGAAGTAAATTAGAGCCTTGAGTGTTAGGACAAAAAAACTTTTATTTTATCCTGCAGGGAAGGAAAAGATGGACTGGAAACGGGAGAGACTTAAGGTATGGAGAATAGTTTATAGGCTATTATATTAGTCCAGACAAGAAGTAATGAGAATTTGGATAGGTTGGTAATGACAACAGGTAGCATTTATGTAGAGCTTTAAAGTCTGCAAAATTTTTATAAATAAAAATTGGCTCATTTTATTTTCACAACAACCATGGATGGTGGGTGCTATTATTTTCTCCATTTTACAGAGGTGAATATCATGGCAGAGGTTATACAACCAGGGTCATACAACTAGTAAAGTCTGAGGTCAGATCTGAACTCAGGTGTTCCTGATTGCAGGTCCAGAGCTCTATCCATTGTACCACCTAGCTGCCTAGTAGTAGTGGGAGTAGAAAGAAAAATTATCTTATACTTCAGAGAGAAACAATAGGACTTAGCAACAAAATAGGTGTGGGGGTTGAGGGAAAGGGAAGAGTAAAAGCTAACTTCAAGCTTTTGAGCCTGGGTAACTAGGAGGTTAGTGATGCATAAATAGAAATAGGGAAATTTGGAGGAAGTATGGGTGTTGGGATATGATAAATTGAGATCAGAACATGCTGAAAGTGAGGTGCCAATGGAAAATCCACGTAAAAGGGTCCAACAAGTAGCTAGAAATGTAGGAATGGAAACTGGGGAGAGGTCAGGGCTGAATATGTATGCGTGTGGGAGTTATCTGCATAGAGAGAATAATTAAAGCCAGGAGAATAGACAAGATTGTCAAGGGAACAAACTGGAGGGGGAAGAAAAGAGAAAAGAAAGCTAAAAATGCCAATATTTTGTGGGCAACAGGAAGAGGAGGAGAAAGAAGTTAAAGAAGTTTAGTAGCTATACTATCTGTGGACCCACGACTGCACATAAAGAAGGCATGAATAGGACAAACAGCCAATAGGCTTAGCTTTACAGTCTGTCCAGACTCTGGGCACTTAATCTATATGAAAGCCACTTGCTAATTCCTACCTGTCTTGGCTGAACTCCCTCCTCCTCCCCTCACCCCCTTCTTTGCCTGTGTTATCTTGCCAGACAGTGATTTTCTTGTTTAATGGTCCTGGACACTCCTGTCCCACTGCTGTCCACATCCCACAGTGAATGAGGGGTGGGGGAAGGGGAAGGCTATGACAAGATCAGGTTAAGTCCAAATGTTTTTGCTTGGTTTCCAAGACTTTCTTCAATGTTTCCATTCCACTTAGCCAACATGCAGACTCTGTTTTAGCTTCCCAGGTCACTTCACAGTGCTATGAATACACCATGTTCATTCTTACTTCCTCATTTTCTCTCTCCTGTATCCTCTCCAATCTTTACCATCCTTGAAGGTCCATCTTAAATTCTCTATCTTCTGGGAAGCCTTAGCTGACAACTTCAGCCCATACCATTTCTTCTTTCTGATCTTTTCCCTTACCCCATACAATATAATTTAGCACTTAATAATAGCTAGTAGGTTCTGCTATTTCTTTTTAGACCAGACCTGTGATTTCCTTGGTATGGGAAAATTCCCACTACCAATAAAAATCAGTGATTATTTTTGTTAAATCATAATTCCCTTCACATTTTGGAACTTAAAGTCTTGGAGACATCCCTAGGACACAGAGAGGATGGCTAAGTGACTTGCTCAAAAAGCCACGATGTGTCACAGGCAGCCCTTAAGCTCAGATCTTCCTGCCTTTGAGGGAAGCTTTTTATATTTTGCATCATGCTGCTCCTAAAGCTCTCAATAAAGACCTTTTTATTGATTAGTTGGGGTAAAAGGGGAACAAAGAAGGAGATAAAGAGAAGGCAAAAGAGAGAAGATGAAGGCCTGGTGGGAAGAGAAGGTGGGAGGGATGCCCCAGAGGAGTTTGTGTCCTTTCTGAAGTTAGGATTGAAATTAAAATTGATAGAATACAACCCAAGTCACCCACCTAAAAAGTCCAGAATAGCTAGCTCCCTGCTTTAGGGAAAAAAAGGGCAGGAGGAGGAAGGAATGTTAAATCATCTTTCAGCTGGAGAGAGAATATTTCATTGCTTTGGATCATAGATCAAACTAGTATCATTTTTCTTCTTAACAGATACTCTGAACCAGGGCTTCTTAAACTTTTTCCACTCACAACCCCTTCAGCGCCTGCTAAACTGTGGGTTGAGGGACAGCTAGATGGCGCAGTGGATAGAGCACCGACCTGGAGTCAGGAGGACCTGAGTTCAAATCCGATCTCAGATACCTGATATTCACTAGCTGTGTGATCCTGGGCAAGTCACTTAACCCCAGGTGCCTGGCCAAAAATTAAAGAAAACAAAACACAAAACCAAAAACCCCCCAAAAAACTCTGGGTTGAGACCCCATACCCATGGTTTAAGAAGTGATACTAGAACTTGGTTGAAAAGAAGATAAAAGATGGGCAGTATTATAGCTACAAAAGACCATTTGACTGGGAGCCAGAAGATTTGTTTTCTGGTTGGTCCTACTTCTGCCACTGGATGACCTTAGGGAAGTTGGTTTCCCTAGGATTCAGTTTCTTAATCTCTTGTTAGAAAAATCTGAAACAAAAATCTACTACAGGAGTGAGTGAAGGAGAGCCTTTATTGCACTTCTCTCTAGAGAAGCAGGTACGTGGGTGCTTGTTCAGTGGTATGATCAACTTTTAAATAGTAAGAGTATGGACTCCATCCACCAGGGCTACGAATGGTCTA